CAGCAAATGACCAGCACAGAAATCTCCTCCATACCCAACCATCCCGGTAAGCGTGTGTGTGCACATGCCAAAGACAGCAAATGTGTAGGAGTCCGGATTCATGGTAGCTTGTGCTGCCTGAACTGCACATAAAGCTCAGGGGGGTTGACTACACCCTGCTCCTGAGAAGCCAACCCCAGGCAGCCTGGTCCTCAGTCCCTCCTCCAGTGCAGAGCTGGAGTGACCCTGGCAGGGAGCGATGGCCTCAGGGAAAGAGGAGAGGTCTGCGACTTGGGGGCAGATTTACCTGCGTGCAAATCCTGTCTCCTGTGCTTACTAGTCCTGCAGCTTGGGGAAGGTCACCTTTCCTCTCAGGGGGCCAGGAAAGAGTCGGGTATTTCAATATGAAAAGTCAAAGGTATGTGACCTTGTTTTGTACCCTCAGATGGTGAGGCGGGACATGTCAATTACACTTCCTAACCGTTGTAATCAGCACCCGCCTGTGGTTTGCAGTTTGCAAATGGCATTCTCCTGGGTTAGTTACCCTATCTGATCTTGGCTTTGTGGGCAGTTTAGGGATAATTTACTCATTTGTTCAGAAAATATACATTGGGCCTCTGCTATGTGCAAGGGCCTGTGCTGGCCGCAAGGGATGCAACAATGAGTAAAACAGCCTTCGTCCCTGCCCACTGAGAGCCGATGTTTACACGGTATCAGTGTGTTTTTGTGTATTTAATCAGTCCCTTCAAAAAAGACCTTGGGTTGTTTTCATTCGGTGGCAATTGAAAACAACCTGTGACCTGTACGAATGACACTTATCTACAGATAAATTCACAGTGGTGTTACATGGTGAGAGGGTAAGCGGTTGTGTAATTTTGATAGACGTTCACTTGCCCTCCACCACTGGAGTCGAACCATTTAGCATGCCTAGCAGCCCTGCGCAGGGTGCCTGTCCCCTCACAGCCTGGCCAGGAGAATGTGCTGTCCAAGTTTTGGATTTTTGCCAATCGGACAGATGGGGGGTGCCATACTGAGTGTTTCGATGTGCATTTCTCTTACTGACAAAAAGATCCTCACTCTTGCTTACATATTAAGGGGCATGTTTTGCATGTGTATGAACTGGCTTTGGCCCCTTTTCTTTTGTGTCATTGGTTGTCTTCTTGATTCCTGGGAGCCCTTTAGAGGTTCGGAAAAATCGGACCTTTGGGATCCGAGCCGGACAAAACTTGCCCCAAGTTGTCCCTTCCATTTTGGCTTTGCTGTTGGGATTTTGGGGGAGGACATTGGAGCAGTCAGGCTTTTTCAAGGAGTCAAAAGTACTCTTCTTTTATGGCTTCTGGACGGATTTCGTACATAATTAAGAAAACTTTCCCAACTCTGAGGTTATAAAGGAATCCGCCGTGTTTTGTTCTAAATGTTTATGGGGTTTATTATTTTACATTTGGAGTTTATCCTGGGGCATGTTCTGACATGTGAACCCAGCCTCTATTCCAGTTGCCCAACACCTTAGAAGACTGATTTTACTGGGGCGCCTGGGTGGCTCAGGCGTTCAGCGTCTGCCTTCAGCTCAGGTCATGGTCCCAGGGTCCTGGGATCGAGCCCCGCATCGGGCTCCCTGCTCGGCGGGAAGCCTGCTTCTCCCTCTCCCACTCCCCCTGCTTGTGTTCCTGCTCTCGCTGTCCCTCTCTCTGTCAAATAAATAAATAAAATCTTTAAAAACAACAAAAAAAGAAGACCAATTTTACTTTACTAACTGGGGATCCTGCCTTCATTGGCCATGCAGGGACTTTATGATCGCTGTGATACTTTTAGTCCCATTGCCCTGTTTGTTCAGCCGCTAGGACTGCATTGTTTTTGTTTTCTGGTTTTTGTGTTTTCCAAAGGCTGCATTGTTTTAAGTATCAACTTCATAGGATGTTTTAATATCTGAAGAACTTCCAGTCCTTCCTCTTTTTTCCCTCCTTGTCGGAGTTTTCCTATAGGTCTTCGCTTGTTTATTTTGGCATATGAACTTCAGAATCAATTTGTCAAATTCCAAAATCACATATGTATTTTTGCTTTTGTTTCCTTTGCCAGAGAAGACGTATCGAGAAATAATGTTTCTACAGCTGAGGTCAAAGAAAGGACTGCCTGTGCTCTGTCCTAGGAATTTTATGGCTCCATGTCTAACAGCTCGGTCTTTAATCCATTTTGAGTTTATTTTTGCGTATGGTGTAAGAAAGTGGTCCAGTTTCATTCTTTTGCATGTAGCTGTCCAGGTTTCCCTAGACAAGAAAAGAGATTCTTTTCCCCATTGCATACTCTTGCCTCCTTTGTTGGAGATTAATCGACGGTATAAGCATGGGTTTGTTTCTGGACTGGTCTGCTCCATTGATTTATGTGTCTGTTTCATGTCAGTTTCCATAATGTTTTGATGACAACAGCTTTGTTGTATTTCTTGAAATCTGGGATTGTGGTACCGCCAAATTTGTTCTTCTTTCTCAAGATTGCTTTGGCTATTCGGGGTCTTTGGTGGTTCCATGCACATTTTTAAAAACATTTTATTTATTTATTTGTCAGGGAGAGAGGGAGAGAAGGCACAAGCAAGGGAGAGCGACGGGCAGAAGGAGAAGCAGGCGCCCCGCTGAGCAGGAACCCCGATGCGGGACTCGATCCCAGGACCCTGAGATCAAGACCGGAGCCGAAGGCAGACGCTTAACTGACTGAGCCACCCAGGCATCCCGGTTCCATACTCCTTTTAATACTGTTTGTTCTAGGTCTGTGAAAAATGCTATTGGTATTTTGATAAGGATTGCATTAAATATGTAAGTTGCTTTGGGTAGTATGGATGTTTGAACAGTATTGGTCCTTCCAGTCCATGAGCATGGAATATCTTTCCATTTGTGTCATCTTTCATTTTTTTCATCAATATTTTATAATCTTCAGAGTACCAGTCTTTTACCTCCTTGGTTAAGTTTACTCCTAGGTATTTTATTCCTTTTGGTGCAATTGTAAATGAGATTGTTTTAATGCCTCTTTCTGCTACTTCATTATTAGTGTGTACAAATGCAACAGATTTCTGTATATTAATTTCTGTATAGCCTGTGACTTTACTGAATTCATTTATTAGTTCTAGTAGTTTTTTGGTGGAATCTTTAGGGTTTTCTATATATAGTCTCATGTCATCTGCAAATAGAGTTTTGCTTCGTTCCTTACCCGTTTGGATGCCTTTTATTTCTTTTTCTTTTCTGATTGTTGTGGCTACGACTTCCAGTACCATGTTGAATGAAGGTGGTGAGAGTGGACATCCTTATCTTGTTCCTGATTGTAGAAGAAAAGCTGTCAGTTTTCCCCATTGAGTATGATGTCAGCTGTGGGTTTTTCATAATGGACTTTATTATGTTGAGATCTATTCCCTCTAAACCTATTTTGTTGAGAGTTTTTATCATGAATGGATGTTGTACTTTGTCAAATGCTTTTTCTGCATCTATTGAGATGATCATATGGTTTTTGTCCTTTCTCTTGTTAGTATGATGTCTCATGTTGATTAATTTGTGAATACTGAACCACCCTTGCATCCTGGGAATAAATCCCACTTGATTGTGGTGAATTATTTTTTCCCTGTCACACCCCCCACAATGATTTTTTTAAATAGATTGTTAGATTTGGTTTGCTAATATTCTGTTGAGAATTATTGCACCTATGTTCATCACACACATGTTGTGGCATCTTTATCTGCTTTTGGTATCAGGGTAACGCTGACCTCATAGAATCAATTTGGAAGCTTTCCTTCTTCTGTTTTTTGGAATAGTTTAAGAAGAATGGGTATTGGGGTGCCTGGGTGGCTCAGTTGGTTAGGCGTCTGTCTTTGGCTCGGGTCATGATCCCAGAGTCCTGGGATCAAGCCCCACACTGGGCTCCCTGTTCAGGGGGGTCTGCTTCTCCCTCTCCCTCTGTGCTCTCTCTTTCTCTCTGAAGTAAATACATTTTTTTAAATCTTAAAGAAGAAGAAGAATAGATATTAACTCTTCTTTAAATATTTGGTAGAATTTGCCTGTGAAGCCATCTGGTCCTAGACTTCTGTTTTTTGAGGGTTTTTTGATTACTGATTCAATTTCATTACTGGTAATCTGTCTTTTCAAATTTTCTATTTCTTCCTGATTCAATTTTGGAAGGTTATATGTTTCTAGGAATTTGTCCATTTCTTCTAGGTTGTCCAATTTGTTGGCATATAATTTTCCATGGTGTTCTCATATAATCCTTTGTATTTCTGTGGTATCAATCATTTTCTCCTCCTTCATTTCTGATTTTATTTATTTGAGTCCTCTCTCTTTTTTTCTTGATGAATCTAGCTAAAAGTTTGTCAGTTTTGTTTTCAATGTTTCATCAGCTCTTAAAAAGAAAGTTTAGGGGCGCCTGGGTGGCTCAGTCATTAAGTGTCTGCCTTTGGCTCCGGTCATGATCCCAAGGTCCTGGGATCGAGCCCCACATCGGGCTCCCTGCTCGGCGGGAAGCCTGCTTCTCCCTCTCCCACTCCCCCTGCTTGTGTTCCCTCCCTCGCTCTCTCTCTCTGTCAAATAAAATAAATAAAAATCTAAAAAAAGTAAAAAATAGGGTAGAGTTGGGTTTTGCTTGGGATCTAAATCAAAAATCTTTTACTTCGTAAAGATAAGTGACTTAAGCCTATTTGTATATATTGATATCACAGGTGTCTTTGGTCTTTCCGTCGTATTGTGTGTATGTACCGAGATATGTCTTCGCACACGTGGGAGGGCTATATTCTTTATTCTTTCACTGTGTTTAAGAAAAAAAAGAAAGTCCCTCTGATATTTGGGAAAGCTTGTATTTTTGTTCTGGTGGCTACATTTATATTTACACCTTTATATAATACTCTTAGTTTCTTCTTTCTTTAGACAGTATTGTTTCTCTTCTATGAACAATAAACTTAACTTGTTTCCCTTTCTCTTGCCACTGCCCCATTTCAGCTGACACTGTACTGAGTGATAAGTCATATCTTCTTTCTGCCCTAATCGCTCCAGCAGGTCTTGGTCAGGTGGTCCTCACGACAGTTGCCATTGCCTAGTTAGGCACGCGAAAACCTGAAGCAGTATCAGCAGCTTGGGAGAGCATTCTGGAGACAAGTGAAGCACTTTTGAGAAATGCTGCGTGGCCCACACGTGATGCTACAGGAGGTGACCCTGTGTGGGAAAACCCTTGAGATTGAGAGGCGCATGCTCTTCCGACCAGGTGCCCCTTGGTTAGGTGATTTTAAAAATCTGACTAAACCATTTTTTTTCCAAGACAAAAATTCTGCGTGATAAGAAAGCAGAGTGACATTGTTTCATTGGCAGCACTTTAAGTTTTTTTAGTGGGCACATCACATAGTGATGCATCTTACTAGATTCAGTAAAATAGGGCAGTGTTATCCTTCTTATTGCTGCCTTTGTACTTTAAATATGCTTAAACTTCTACTGTTGGATTTTTAGCTCTTACCTCTTGCCATTAAAGATGAGGTAAGCACAGAGCTCGTTCCACTTTCAACCTCCTTTCCCCTTGCCTACCAAGTTTTGGGTAGTTGTATCGTTTCCATGTTGTCTGGCTAGATAACATTTTCATTCCATCTGTCATCTTTATTCCTACCCTTTCATGGGGGAATATATTCAGCCCTCTTATTACAGTTGAATATATTCAGCTGAATATATTCAGTCCTCTTATTACAGTTCTTTCAAGCACCACTTGGTTGAATGAAGTTGATTCCTCGGTTTTCCTCAGAGGAGCAATCTTGCCGAAGTCATACTTCAAAGCTGTTGGCGTGTAATCTTTATATGTATTTCTTTTTTTAAAAAGATTCTGTGTATTCATTTGAGAGAGAACAAGCCGGAGAGAGGGGCAGAATAAGAGGGAGAAGCAGACTCCCCGAGCCCGATGCAGTGCTCGATCCCAGGACCCCAGGATCATGACCTGAGCTGAAGGCAGAAGCTTAACCAGTTGAGCCACCCAGGTGCCCTATAATCTTTATATTTAAAGAACAACATGGCTCTAGGTTAATCTTTGGCTCCAACTTTCTTTCCCTGATGACCCTGTAGGTGTTGCCCCACTATCTTCTCTCTTTAAATGCTGCTGTGGAGAAATCAGATAGCAGCCTGATTCTCCGTCCTTCGTTGATGGCTTGGGCTTTGCATGTAGCTATCCAAAGATTTATCATGGTACCTTTAAAGCCCAGTGATTTTACCGTCCTGTGTCTTGGGACTTACCATTCTGGGTCACTGTTCTCTAGTACATGGTGTGCCTTTTCAATTCATGAAATCGGGTCTTCCCCTATTTTGGGAAGGTTTTCCTAAATTATAACTGCAGAGCTTTATTCTATTCATTCGTTTCCGTTTCTTCTTTAGGAGGCCGGTTGTACATGTGTTGGGCCTCCTCTGCAATCTGTTCCATTTTGGTTTTTTGGTTCTTTGAATATCTCTTTGAGTATTTCTGCTGGATTTTGTTGACTTTTTCTTACTTTAATTTTTATATCTCTTCCTGTACTTTGTCTGGAGTCTGTTCTCCTGTGTATTGCTTGTCGTTCAGTCTTTGTTTCTGAAGTAGCCTTGTATTTTCCTTCTAGTTCTTTCCTGAGGTCTGTCAGTTCTCACATCACGTGTCACCCTCATGTCTTGCTGTCACTTTGCCTGACCATTTCTTCTTCTGCTCTTGTATTTTTGCTTTTTGGTCCGCCTTCATAACTGGAATTACTTTTTAAAGTTGTTTTTTTTTTAATTCATGCTGTAATTTTGTATTAGGATTTTTATCTGTTTTATGGAAATTTTTTTTTTTAAAGATTTTATTTATTTGACTGAGAGAGACACAGCAAGAGAGGGAACACAAGCAGGGGGAGTGGGAGAGGGAGAAGCAGGCTCCCCGCTGATCAGGGAGCCTGATGTGGGGCTCGATCCCAAGACCCTGGGATCCTGACCTGAGCCGAAGGCAGACGCCTAACGAGTGAGGCACCCAGGCGCCCCTGTTTTATGGGAATATTTTTTGTGGTGAATTTTCCTTATACATAAGAGGACATTAGTATTCCTTTTCCTTTTCATTCTTGGAGCATCTTTGTATGGACACTATTTTTTTTATTCCTTTAACTGTTTTTTTTTTTTAAATATTCAAATTGGTTGAATTTTCCTGGATCAGCACTTAATAGGAGGTTTTGGTGGAAATTGGGAGAGAGGTCAGGGTAGTTCTCTCTGTTTCTCTGTTTTTATGGAAAAGGATTATTCCTTTAAAATACAACCTTTCTTGGGGTGCCTGGATGGCACAGTTGGTTAAGTGTCTGACTCTTGGTTTCAGGTCAGGTCCTGAGCTTGAGCCCTGTGTTGGGCTCTGGACTTAGCATGGAGTTGACTTGGGATTTTCTCTCCCTCTCCCTGCCCCTCCTGCTGTGCGTTTTCTTTATCTCTCTCTCAAATAAATAAATCTTTTAAAAAATAATAAAAAATAAAATAAAATATGACCCTTCTCTGGATCCACTGCCCTTTTGCCTCACAGAACTCAGCTGGCTTAAAGGGGCCACCTGCCTCTAAACTTGAACTCTCCTGGTTCATTCAGGCTACAGCTCACTCTCTGACTTACTCATCTTCCTTTTAGAAGCAGTGATTTCTGCAGTCTTCCACTTCTGGGCCCCTCTGCACCCTGTTCCTCCCCAGCTCACTGCTGTATCTGCTGGACTCAGGTGCTTTGGGCCTCACTTACATGTGAGTTGGGGTTTATGGGTTTCTCATGCCCCTAGTTTCACTAAAGCTGTAGCTTGTGGTTTATTTTCTCTTTCCCCTGTTGCTCTATATGACATCAGCAGAGGAGGAAAGATTCAGAACCAAGAATCTGCCCTATTCCTATTGGAAAAACAAGTCTCTAGCTCCCTTATTTTGTTGGTAATATCTCCCAAAGAGCAAGCCACTGCCTTCCTGGTTTCTGGCTTTAGAACATCTTACAGACTTTGGAGAAGAAACATTTTATAACCTCTGCTCTGAAAACATCCATTTTTACAAGGATCACCTTCTAGTAACTGTAACTCCTACTTCTTGAATAGAAATATTTATTTATTCCCTGAAAGATGGGAGGGGGTGCGGGGGCAGGACAGCAGACCCTTCAGGAAGGATTTTCAAGCTCTAGGTATTGATTCTTCCCACCAAGGAGGGTCTGAGTTCCTGATCCTGTTCTGTCTCCAGAAGTATCCCTGCTTTCAACTTGGTAGACTCTTCCCTCATCTCTGTCTCTCTTTTCGTGTGTGTGTGTGTGTGTGTGTGTGTGTGTGTGTGTGTGTGTGTGTTGGTTGGTTGACATGACAAGAAGTCCAGGATGGACCAGCTTCAGGCATAGCAGAATCCAGGTGTAAAGTTGATGTCATCATGCATCTCTTTCTCTCCATCTCTTGGTTTTGCTTGCCTCTGGGCCAGCTTCATTCTCAGGCAGGCTCTCCCCTCCTGGCTCCTGGCTCAATGTTAGCACCTCCCTTAGAAAGCACATGACCCTGCTTGGCTTGGATTTGGGGTACGTGCCCTCCCTGAGCTACTCACTGTGGCCAGGAGAACGTGGCACAGTCATTATTAGGCAGACTAGAATCGTGTGTGTACCCCAAGAACTAGAGTGGGGGGTCTGTGGGGCAGAGGTGGTTCCTCAAAGGAAATCAGGGTACTGTTATCAGAAGAAGGGGGAATGGATGCTGGGCAGGCAAAGCCAGCAGAGAGCCACCCCATCTCCACTGGTAAACCCCACTGCAAATGACATCTAACCATTTTCTCTTGCCATGCAGAGGCCCACCGAGGCACATTTCCCATGGAGCTGCCATTTCAGTGATATTCCAGGCAGTGTGTGTGACCCGAGGGTGGCTCTGAGATTTCAGAACAGGGGGACAAAGAAAGGGGGTGTTGTGGAATAAATGGTGGCCTCAAAGGAGATATGTCGTGTCCTACCCCCTGCAACATGTGACTGTGATCTCCTTTGGAAAAAGGGTCTTTGCAGGTGTTACTACATTAAGGGTCTTGAGATGAGGAAATGATCCTGGATTAGCCAGGTGTGGGCCATAGTCCAGTGACAAGTGTCCTTACAAGAGACAGAGGAGGAGAACACGCACAGAACAAGGCCACATGAGCCCAGAGGCAGAGACTGGAGGAAGAGGCCACAAGCCCAGGAGGGCCTGGAGCCACCAGAAACTGGAAGGAGCAAGAAACGATTCTCCCCTAGAGCCCGAGAGGGAGTCAGGTCCTGCCAACACCCTGGTTTTAGACTTCTACTCTCCAGAGCTGTGAAAAAATAGGTGCCTCTTATGGTCATTGGTTTCAGTCGCTACAGGAAACCAATATGGGGAAGCTGATCAGAGTCGAGAGTCGGGTCCCTCTTCTGTTTCCTTGGTTTTGTGGTTTGCAACTTCTGCTGGGCTGTCTGCCTCCTGAAGCATCTCAAGGAAGACCTGGAGGTGGGGCACTCCTCGCATGGGGGTGGGGGCAGGAAGAGCTCCCTGAGGGCGTCAGCTCCAGCTTCCAGGGCTGTGTGACCCTGGCCGAATCCCTTTCCCTCTCTGGGCCTCTGGGAGCCAGGCAGCACCGATCCCGGCAACAAGCGGTTCGGCATGGGCTGTGTCTGACCATCACCATGACTCTGCTCTGTTTGGCAGTCACAGTCCGCCAGCACCGGGCTGAGCTGGATGGACACAGGAGCCAAGGGAAGGTCAGAGGTGGAGTGTCCCTACTGTGGGCCATCAAGGAGTGACAGTCTTCGGGCAGAGGAGCCATTTCTAGGCACTTGGGCCCATACCGATGCTCCTGACGGCAGAGGGGGGCGGGGCCACAAAGTGGCGAGGGCCCAGCCAACGGGGGGTGGTCGGGCCTTTGGCCCTTTGACCCACCAGCTGTGTGCATCTCACCCTCACTTCCTGCCTGGGGGGGTGGGGGTCCTGAGGAGCTCCGAGGAGCTCAGAGCAGGGAAGTGGCCACAGTCAACAAGCTAACTGGAAACACCTCCCTGTTGCAGAGGGTGGGGGCAGTGGCAACATGCCAGCCACTGCTGACAAGGTCCAGGACTTGGGCCGCAGCTGCGAGGCCCATCCCGGGGGGCCAGGAGCATGCTTTGGACCTGAGGTCACACGGGTACTGGGCTGTGGCCAACTTGGCCCTGCGCACAGTTTCTATTCCTGGGTTTTGGGCTCCAGGACCAAATACGGCACTGCTTGGGACTGGCACTCTCCACTGGGGCAGGCGCGGGCTCAGGTGGCACATCCTGCCACCCCAACAGGCCCAGACCCCACCCCATCCCACGGAAGAGCCAGATCATCCCAACACTGTGGGGGCCCCTGGGCGGCTGGGACCTCGATCTGTCCAACTCTCTGTCCACTCCTCAGTGTGGTTCACATTGGGTTAAAAATACCCAGGACCAAAATAGCCTCTCCTTGCAGGGGAAAACCAGGGCAGGGGAACACAAGGTTCTTGATTTCTATTGGCTCTGCCGCTCACGACCCAGCTGGGGGATCCCAGGCTGCTCACCTGACCTCTGGCCCCGATGCTCATGGCTCCTTCGGTCACTCGCCGATTTGCTAACTCACTGACTTGCCCACTCTTTAATTCGCTCCTTCGTTAATCCACTCGCTAATCATTCATCGATTCGCGCGCTCATCGATTCGCTCCTTCATTGACTCGTTTGCTCCTTCACTTACTCACCCACACGCTGAGTCACTCGCTCACTCGATATTCACTGACTGCACACCCAGCGCCATCTATTTAGATGCTGAGCAAAACACAAAAAATACCCATCTTCGTGGAGTGATGTTCCACATAAATAACCCGCACAAATGAGTACAAGATGTCCTGTATGCTAGATGAAGCACCGGGGACAGTGAACTCCACAGGAGGCCATGAAGTGACGGGAGGTGGGACTTTCGGGGCTGGGAGGCCCCCCAGGAAGATGATTTCCGAGTGAGGACCAGAGGGAGGTGAGGGAGGGAGCCAGGTGAACAGCTGTGGGAAGAGCGTTCCAAGCAGAGGGAACAGCATACACACAGGACCCGGGAAGGCAATATGGGGGGGGGGGGGGGGGGGACGGGTTTGAGAAAGAGCGAGCCGGCGGGGCGTGGTTGGGTAGAGCAGATGATGAGGAGAGACGCGGGCTGTGAGGCCAGGGGTGGGGGACACACGCAGGGCCTAGTGAACCTGGGCCTCCCACATCACTGAGGGTCTCACAGACAAGTGACATGTCCTGGCTTGTGTCTTCGGGGTGTCCCTCTGGCCGCCGGGGGAGTGGGTCCGTGAGGGAGCAGATCAGGGAGAGGGCGAGTCAGTTTGTGTGGGCCCACTGTGTGCCAGGCACTGAGCTGGGCTCCGGCAGGGGGAAGGTGCGCAGGCCCGCGTGGTGCTTACAGCGGCCCGTCTGGCTAAGGCCCTCCGTCAGTGTCAGCTGGCCAGGAAGCCACCTTCACCTGGCTCTGTTGGACCCTTTGCCCCGTTTCAGCTGTCACCAGCGTCGTCCTTGTCTGTTTCCAGATGGTTCCCCCCCACGCGCTGAGAGCTCCCCCAGGGCAGAGCTGCAGCCTAGCTCTTCTCTTCTCCCAAGCACCCTCCCTGTGGGGCCGAGAGAGCCAGTGGATCGGTGAACAGGTGACCCTGTGTGGCTGGGGGACGAGGCCTCCGTGAGCCCGCCACCCTCCTCACTCTGTGTCTCCCCGTGTTTTGCAGATGGATTTGTGGGTGCGGAGAGTGTGTGGAAGGGCCGTGTTCCTGTTGGCAGAGAAGTCTGGCTGCTGAGCCAGGGCGTGTCTCCCAGAGGGCTGCCGGGCTGCCGGATCCCCACCTCGCCGCCATGGGCCGCCCAGGCTGGTCAGTTACCAGCCAGTGACGTCAGCGCGGTTCCCAGCCCTCCACTGGGAGGGCACGCCAAAGTCTCGAGTCCCAGCCTCCTGGCACCACTCTCAGGCCGTGAGACCTGTCTGTCCTGGGGAGCGGTTGACTCCGGCCCCCGTTAGCCCCCAGGCTGCGCGGTCCCTCCACCCCACTGTGTGTCCACATTCCCTGGCCTCTAAAGTAGAAATGATCCAACCACCCCTGGGGTTACGGAGAGCCAGAGGGGGTGTGCATGGGGGCACCGAGAATTTAGAAGACGCTGAGTAAACGCTGGCTGGGATTCTGTGACTAGTGAGAACAGACAGGTGAATGTGCACCGAGTCCCCAAAGTGCCAGGCACGTTCCCACATCCCCTGCACCGTTTCTGTCCCAGGCAGGATGGTACAGTGTTGAGAGAGTAGACTCTGGAGCCAGGTGGCCTGGCTTCAAGCCCGCACCCCGCCACTTGCCTGCCACGGGACCGTGTGTGAGTTACCAGACTTCTTGGTGCCTCGAGGTCCTCACCTGTGAGATGGGGGTGATGATCACCACTGCACAGGGTGGCCGTGGGGGTTCAGCGAGTTAAATGTGTATGACGTCCCAGTCAGGCCACCTGGCACATGTGTGGTGATGGTCAACCCTTTAGTGGGTTCCAGTGTTCTTGCCCTGGAGGTGTGAGCTGAGTGAGTTGCCCCAGGTCTTAGCTGGTTCAGGCAGACTTGAGGTCCCATGTCTCCCAGGTGCTCCCATAGCCCTGCCCTTGGGGACAGAGCCCAAGCCTATTTCCTCTCCCCAGCCACCTGCCGGGCCCCCAGGATGTTCTTGGTTGCTGGCCAGGTGGACATCACCAGGAGAAGGTGAGGGTCGAAGGGAAATAGTCCTAGGCTCCAGACCTGTGTCTATAAGAAGCACGGTCCAGGGCAGGGGCTGGGGAAGCCAGCCGCCCAGGAGAGAGACTCCATTGTGTCTGAGACAAGGGCTTTAGGACCCAGCATGCATCCCCGTGTGCCTGGAGCCCACTCGCCCTGCAGGCTTGCCTGCCAGGCCCTTAGCACGCCAGTGCCCAGGCCTGCCCAAGCCCCAGGCTTTTCTGCTGAAAGGTCCCAAGGCTACTTGGCAGTCTGCCCTCTTGGAGCAGCTCCAGGCCTGGCACAACTGTGGAACTGAATGGGGCTAAGGGGTCCGTGGGCTAGGCCTCGAATCACGGGCTGCCAGTGGCCTGAGGGGCCCAGGTGTCACGGGACAGAGAGGCCCGTGGGCCACGTGGTAGAGGCATCACTTCTGACAACCTCGCTTGTGCCAGACCCTGGCCTGGGCCCGCGATGGCCATATGTGGCAGGTAGCACTGGCTCAGGTGTCGGGAAGCGCCCAGGTGTGTCACAGAGAGCAAAAGGAACTCTGCCCAGACCGTGGCCCCTGGCCTGCCGTTGCCCTTTTGCAGGTGAGGAAGGAGGTGGGACTCAGAGCCAGCAGACCCGTGGGCTTTTGGAAGCCCGCATTGGCCGTAGCTGGTGCTTGTGGGAAGTGTTTTTCAGGCCAGAGATACCAGCAGTCTGCCCGAATGTGATGCTCGTCTCTTGCAGACCAGCCAGTTCGTGCTGTGGCCTCCTGGTGTCATCTGGGGAGAACATGTCCAGGCCCCCTGAGTGCCTGCTGCGGCTGCGCCGGGGAGCCCCGAGGCAGCGCATCTGCACCCTGTTCATCATCAGCTTCAAGTTCACGTTTTTCGTCTCCATCATGATCTACTGGCACATTGCGGGAGAGCCCAGGGGCCAAAGAGAGTTCTCTAACTTGCCTGCCGACGTCCCCTGCCCCCGACTGGGGTCCCCTACGCTGCTTTCCAGCACCCCGCCTCCAGGCAACATCTTCTTCCTGGAGACATCAGACCGGACCAACCCCAACTTCCTATTCATGTGCTCGGTGGAGTCGGCCGCCAGGGCCCACCCGGAGTCCCGGGTGGTGGTCCTGATGAAGGGGCTGCCCGGTGGGAACGCCTCCCTGCCTCGGCACCTGGGCCTCTCGCTCCTGGGCTGCTTCCCCAACGTCCACCTGCTCCCGCTTGACCTGGACGAGCTGTTCCGGGACACGCCACTGGCGGCCTGGTACGCGGCCCGGCAGCGCCGCTGGGAGCCCTACCTGCTGCCCGTGCTCTCCGACGCCTCCCGGATCGCGCTCCTGTGGAAGTTTGGTGGCATCTACCTGGACACGGACTTCATCGTCCTCAAGAACCTGCAGAATCTGACCAACACGCTGGGCACTCAGTCCCGCTATGTCCTCAACGGTGCCTTCCTGGCCTTCGAGCGCCACCACGAGTTCATGGCGCTGTGCATGCACGACTTCGTGGCCCACTACAACGGCTGGATCTGGGGCCACCAGGGCCCGCAGCTGCTCACGCGGGTCTTCAAGAAGTGGTGCTCCATCCGCAGCCTGGACGAGAGTCACGCCTGCCGCGGCGTCACCGCCCTGCCCTGCGAGGCCTTCTACCCTATCCCCTGGCAGGACTGGAAGAAGTACTTCCAGGAGGTCAGCCCCGAGGAGCTGCACCGGCTGCTCAAGGCCACCTACGCTGTCCACGTGTGGAACAAGAAGAGCCAGGGCACGCGCCTTGAAGCCACGTCCCGGGCGCTGCTGGCCCAGCTCCATGCCCGCTACTGCCCCACGACGCATGAGGCCATGAAGATGTACTTGTGAGGGGCCCGCTGGGCCACCCTCCCTGCACCACCAGGCGCCCTGACGGAGAAGGGCTCCTGGCCACCTTTCCTGGTGGGGGCGAGACGGGAGGGCCCGGGAGAGGGAGGCTGGAGTTGCCGCAGCCTAGGATTCGGGCAGGCTCGGGGGAGGGTGGGGAGCTGTTGGTCCCAGAGGTGTGCCTGGAGGATGCGCTGCAGGCCCCCGGATCCGCTCCCTTCAGGGTGAGGCTGGTGGGACACCCCCGGGCCAGTGTGCTTTCTCAGGGTGAAGGCAACAAGTGGGGGGGTTGGGGGGCCCCAGCCAGAATCGGCTGGAGTAAGCCAGGGGAGCCTCTGGGTCTTCTGGACAACACACCAGAGCCGTGCACGTCAAAGCGGCTTCCGGGATGTCACAGGGAGGCCAGGCTGGTGGGGGCCCGAGGTGCCCACAAAGAGAACATGGATGGAGAAGCCCCAGAACAGGGGTAAGAAGGAGAGGGGAGCTCCTGAGGAAAGGGGGGAGGCAGCAGGGGTGCACACCCAGCCTCGTGAGCCTGGGTTGGGGGGGCAGAGTGCTTTGCTCTTCTCTGCCTTTGGTTTCTTCTTCGGAGGAGCCGGCCTGGGGAGCCCTTTGGGGGAGGCTTGCCTGCTCACCCCATTCTCTCTCCTTTCCAGAGATGTTGCAGGGGTGCCATGCGCCAGCCGGCCACTCCAGGGCATGGCAGCATGGAGTTCTTTTGGCTCAGGAAAAGCATTTTAAGAAAACCACCCCCCACGCTGCCCACAATAAACACGGGATAATAAACATAATAAAAACAACTCCCTGACACCAAGTGCTTGGTGGTTGATAAAAGGAATCCACTCCCACAAGCCCGCATTAGTCCCATTCTGGAGACAGGGAAGCAGCTGGGGGGCCGTGTCCTGACATGCTTGAGGTCACTCAGCCCTGCCCGGAGAGCAGTCCAGGGACCCGGGGGGTGGGGGTGGGTTGGGGGGCCCAGCCGGACACCCCAGGAGCCCATTACCAGAGTAGGGGCATGCTGCCCCCAGGCCTAGAGGGGTAGGTGTCAGGGTCTGTGGGGTCCCTCCTGGCCCAGATCCTGGGAAAGACCGGAAGTGCCTTCCAGGCAGCCGCAGGGCTGGGTAGGAGGAAAATGCTCTCTGCCAGGTGTGGCCCCGGCTGGTTCGTGCTGAGGAAGCCCTCTCTGGGAGCTGGGCATTCTAGCCAGGCTGGAGAAGCACTTCCCTGAGGGACCAGGGGTGCTGCCAGGCACTCTGGGAGTCGGCAGGCTGCTCTTTGGCAGCCGAGGGGGAGATGTTCAGAGACCTCTGGATTCTGACCTTCTTGGGCAGCCTAGTTAGGAAGTGAGCTCCCCGGCTCTAGGGGTATTCAAGAACAGGTGATACTTTGATGACAGCAATGGATTCCATGTCAGTTATTTCTCCAACCACAACATCATTCACGCTTTTTAAAAAAATATTTATTTGAGAGAGGTTGTGAATGAGAGAGAGAGAGCGCACGGGCCGGGGGGAGGGGCCGAGGGAGAGGGAGAAGCAGGCTTCTCGCTGAGCAGGGAGCCCAACCCAGGCCTCCATCCCAGGACGCTGGGATCATGACCTGAGCCGAAGGCAGATGCTTAACCGACTTTGCCACCCAGGCGCCCTAACCATATATACTTAAGCAAGTAAGACAGATGCCCTCATAGGTTCAAGCCTTGTGTAATCGGTCACTTGGCCATGGCATGTGAGTGCCTACTAGGCACGAGCGTGCAGAGAGGACAGTGTCACCCGCTCGCCCTCAGCGCCGCTATGGTTCCCCATTGCCTGACTCGGGCTGGATTACAGGTCCGCCATGGTCCTGCCCTCTCCAGCCTTGGGCATTGCCCTCCACTCACGCTTAACTGCATAATTTTTTTTTCTTCCCCGGAGAGAGAGAGCCTGTACTTGCTTGGGGGCAGGCGGGGGGGTGCAGAGAGAGAATCTTAAGAATCTGAAGCAGACTCCATGCCCAGAGCAGAGCCTGACGCAGGGCTCAACCTCACGACCCTGAGATCATGACCTGAACCAAAACCAAGAGTTGGATGCTTCCCCAACTGAGCCACCCAGGCGCCTCTAAACTGCACATTCTTGACTCTTCTCCCTCTGCTAATGGCCACAAGTTGATACTCGTACACTGCTGTGCAATGCCCTTCCCAGCCATCTTCACCAACAGACTCCTGTTCCTTCCCATAAGGCTGACGTCCCCTCCCGGAAGCCTTCTCTGACTGCCCTTCCTCCAGCCCCACAGCTCCCAAGCATCTTGCTTGACTGTTGGGTTCTTGGCCTGTTCCCCCAAAGATCTTGTGGGGAGAGCCATGGCAAAGCCTTCTCAGGGCTATTCCTGGGTTTGGTCTCAGGCTCCCAGCGGGGCACATCCATGTCACTTTGGGGGGGGGTGGGGACTTCAAGGAGTTCCCAGCAGTCCATGCAGAGCTGAGGGACCAACTCTGGGAGCATCAGAAAGATCGCTGGGCCCTTGGCCACCCCTGACACCTTCTAACCCAGGGGCCCTGGCCAGGCTGGAGTAGCTGAAGCCCGTTCTGTCAGAATACAGCTTGGCCAAATGTTTACAGACCTTCTCAGAGGACCTCATTCTGGAAATGGGGCCCAGAAGGGAGCCTTGGCCCCAGACGCTCCTCACATCATGCCAGTCGGGGCCAAGAATGGGAAAAGTCTCAGATGTTCCTGGCATCCTTTCTCTGAGGAAGTGGGCAGGCAGGGGAACGTAGTGGGGCACAGAGGTGACTTTTCCTCTCTCATGTTCCACGAACGACCCTCCATCCATCAACCTGACAGTTGGGAGGGGGAGGGCTGAGCCTCGCTGAGCCTGCCCCAAACCCAGCCTCTTAATGCAGCAGATAGAAACCAGTTAGGATCCCCCTGGCCGGAAATAATGGCAGCATCCTGGAGAAGAGAAGCTGAGGGGATGGGTGTGGGCCGGCAGAGGGAAGGTGGAAAGGCTGATTCATCTCCCAGCTCTGAGGCCACAAGGTGCCACCCTCACCACCCAGCCCTGCGGACCCCAGCCTCTGTCCATCCTGGTGGAGTGTTCTTGGCCCTCTTTTGGTCTGGGAGGAATCGTCCCAATGCCCAGGACAGAGCAGGGGAGCGTGAGGATCCCCCTTGCTGCCTCCTGGCCTCTGTGCCCTGGCCAGGACCGTGCCTTGTTGCCTCTTGTGCAGAAATGGATGGGACCAGCCTCCTCACGTGGTTGTGGCGATTGAATGGGCGAGCAGGGCACCTGGCACGGAGTACAGTATATATAACACCCCCCCAAATGCTATGTGGGGAAACTGAGGCTTAGCCAGTAACGGCCAGCACTGAGATTAGAACCCAGCCCTGGGCGGTCCTGAGGCCCGAGCTCCAGGCAGGAAGGAGGCAGGCTCCAGGAGCTGGAGAGGGTTCTTCCCTTTCTTTGAGAGGGTTTTTCCTGACCTCCCTGTGCAACATCCACAGACCAGAGCACCATCCCCCCACCCCACCCCACCCACACACCCCTTCCCGGTTCCTCTGCCTCTCCCCCATTCCGTTGAGACCCTGTGCTTGGTGCTGTCCCATCCCAAGCTCGCAGTTGCCTGATGCCCTGGCAACCTTGGGCTGCCCCCCTTCATGGTAGGAGCCGGAACATTTGCCAGGCAACTGAGTTCTCCAGTTCTCGGAAAAGAGAAAGGAAGGGCCGGCTCTGTGGAAACCTGCCCTGGGGACAGTAATCAGATCCTAGGAACCCTGTGGTTTGTTTCTGGCGGCTGCGTTTGCAGATGTTTTTGTCTGGGAGTTGGGGAAGAAGATGAGGGCCCATCCCTTCATGGGGGTTCAGCAAGCGGCCCAGCAGGGCCTGAGGCAGGTGTGTTGTCAATAACTGAATGAACCTTCCCAGCTGACCAAGCACAGGCAAGGAGGGCGGTAGCCTGCCCAGCAGTGCTGGGGTGAGGGGATGATCTCCTCTGCCTCTGTATCAATACTCAGCTTCTTGTTCAAGTATTACATTGGAATGTCCTCCATCTGAGTGCCTAACAGAGACAAAGGATGAGTGAGTAACTAGGAAGTGTGTTCCTGGAAGTCTGGCTTCATGGTTCACTTGTTCCTAAATCTCTGCTAGTCCTGATAGGGGCAGCCCAGTGCAAGGCACGCTGGGAATTCAGCTGTGAGGTCCGGGCTTGAGACGACACAGCTTTCGGGACCTGACAACCGGCAGTGGACTCAAGGGTGATCTGGGCTATGGGGGAGGGAACACCCGCTTTCCTGGGCAAGGGGCCATAGTAGGAGGGAACCAAGGTGGTGGGTGAGACTGAACTGTGGGGGGGAGGTCCCCAAACAGGAAAACATTCGTCACAGCCGTGGTCCACCACCAACACAAATCAGAACCCAGCCCCCAGCCCCACCAAGTTCCAAGGAGAGAAACAAGATCTGAGAGGGAGCCTCTGGCTGCTAGAAACAACGCAGGGTGATTGAAACCACAAAGGCATTTAGCGTCCACACGATGTATCGGTTAAGGTACCCAGGGAGCTGCTGTAATGAAAAGACTCCAAAAGAGAGTTGCCTAAAGAAGGCAGAAGTTTGTTCCTCTCTCACGTCACAGCCCCCAGGTGAGTACTCCGAGGCCCATGGGGCTGCTCTGCCATCCCCAAGATGGGGCATCTAAAAGGCTCCAGCTGCTGCCATTTTCCAACTAGTGGGAAGGGGGGGAGAGAGTGCCCAGGGCAACCTGCTTTAATCCAGAAGTTTGCATACACTCCTGCTCACATCCCATTGGCCTAGACTTAAATCACTTGGCCACACCCAGCTGCCAAAGCTGGTCTGAAGCTGAGGGTCAAGCAGCCCGCTAAAACTCATCCTGTTCTATTCCTAAACAGATGGCAGGAAAAATGGACCCAAGAGAACAGTTAGCAGTGTCTGTCACATAACCAGGAGTCTGGTGATAGAGTGCCTCCAGGGTTGGTTAAGTCAGTAGCTCATCGACATCTTCATATCTTCAAGGATCTCATGAGTTGATTTTTGGTCTGAAGTTCGTCCCCTCGGGGCTTCAAGATTGTTGCCACTGCTCCAGGCATCATACCCTCATGCACTAATCAAAAAGGCAGAGTAGAGAATGTTCCTCCCTTGTGTCTGGGAAAACTTTCTCAGAAGCCCCCTTCTCCAGCTGACTTCCCCAACTTTCATTGGCCAAATAAGTAGCATATGCCCATTCCTACCCCGATTACTAGCAAAGGGGGTCCAAATGCTCAGGGCAGAGCAGGGAAGCCCAAGGATCTGTCTTCCCTGCCTCCTGGCCTCTGTGCCCTGGCCCAGGTTATGCCTTGTTGCCTCTTTTGAAGAAATGGATGGGACCAAGGACTGGCTTAGACCAATTGAGATTTATCCCCAAGGTCTGGGAAGGGTGCCCCACTTCCTTCCCAATACAGGGCCACCTGAGGGCGGAACAAAATCAGGGTTCCCTTAGCAAGAAAGAAGAGGGGGAG